CATGTGGTGGCAGTGACCAGAGGCAGTTTACTTGACAACGGGTGTTATAGTGACGTCAGCGTGAGGACACAAGAAACTCCACCTGGTAGGGTAGTTCAAGTGACACTCGGAGTGACTCAACAAACATTATATAATGTGTGTTAAGTGCGTAGTGGATAAAAAGTGTGACATTATAAAATAACAAGATTCGACACAAGTTTCAGGCTAAAAGAATCTCTCGAGTATCAACAAAAATCACCAAACACACACAGTCTGCCACAGGTGAGTCAGCTAACACCTTCACTACGGGACGCTACTTTAATATTGTATTTAGCTGCCGCCACACATTATTATTGTTATTCAGCTCAGAGAACCACAAGGGGTTAATAGCATGCTGACCCAAGCGGACCTCAGCGTAACGAGACACACCACATTTTCTGTGACCGTCTCAAACTGTAAACATTCTTGCATATGCCTGACGTGTGTGTATATCCAGTGTACACGACCAAGGTGCACACTCTTATACTACGACGTGATCAGAATCTTCAGTGATGCATTTAGCAGTGTAACGCCATCACCCGCGTGACGTCAACTCTACAGAACTCAATATTGCAGTTCACTGCTTCCATTAGGTTAGCACATAAACATACATTATTTTACAACTACATAAATACAATTGAACATTAAGCAGACTTCACACGGGAGTTATCATAGGACCAAATGTACACACATCTACTAAGCTATATACTCATCTCTGTTACATCGTTAAGACTGTGAGAGCTCGGCTAGGTCTGACTGCGCGATGTTCTGGCACCATTGTGTAGGTATAAAACACACACACACACACACACACACTACTACTACTACTACTACTACTACTACTACTACTATTACAACTACTACTTTGCTGTCACTCGGAATCGAGTATAATGATCCCCCAGCTATGAGACAATGATATGAGTTTTTAAGGATGTCACCTTCGTTGGTGAGTTTTAAGGTGACTAAAGAGGCCGATACGGGACCGGCAGGGTCGTTCACAGATGTTGCACATGTGGATGGCTCCATCTAGTGTCAGGCTAATTCGAAAGTAATGACACCTTCTCGGGTAGTGTTTCTCCAAGCGTTACGGTGTGGAGTAATCGTCTCCTAGGTTAGGGGGTCGATTTGGCACTTTTCAGGTTTGTCTGAAGTCTATCCTTATACCTTTTCAGTTGCCCGCCAGTGTTACATATATTATTCATTAGTTGACTATAAAGTAGCTGCTTTGGCAGTCTACTGTCGTCCTTGTGGGTAACATGGCCAGTCCAACGTAGTTGTTCACGGATAATGGTAGCCTCGATGCTCCTACAGGTGGTGTCAGCAAGAATACTGGCATTTGTTCTCACCGCCATATAGCAGGGTGGGGAGGACCACTGCTCGATATACGTGCAACCTTGTAGATAATTTCAGCTCCCTACAGCTGAAGGCACAGGTACAGAGTCTGCCAAAGGCTTGATATGCACATCTGATCCGATGTTGAATTTTGCATCTCTGTCCGCAATGGTGGACAGGTGGGAGCCGAGATACTGAAAGTGGGTAACATTAGAGAGGGTAGTACCGTTAAGCTGGATGGATGGTGGAAGTGTGGCTGAACCAGGGGCAGGATGAAAGAGTATCTGAATCTTACGTACTGTACATTCACCTTAAGGCCGAAGTGTGCATAAGCATCTGCGTAGGTGTTCAGGATCTTTTGTAGGTCGCGTTCAGTGTGAGCAACAAGGGTGAGGTCGTCTGTATGCGGATGTTCAGTAATGGAAGCTGCCAACACCTGTGTTCGTGCCTGGAGTCGTCGTAGGTTGAAAAGATCCTTCATCCGGTACTCGATGTCCATCCCGTCGGCTAAATTGGCACTGGCTCGAGTAAGGAAGGCAGCCAAGAAAGTGGAAAAGAGAGTTGGTGTGCCAGTACACACCCTTGATTATCCTCTGTTTGGATGGGGAAGAACTCAGACTGGGTGCCATTGTGCAGGACACTGCCGTTCATGCCACCGTGGAGTTGCCTCATGGTGGCAATGAATATTAGTGGGCAGCCAAAACGGCTGAAGGTCCGCCAAAGGGTTTCCCTGTAGACCGAGTCGAAGGCCTTGGTTAGGTCGATGAAGGCCATGTACAGGTCACGATGCTGCTCTCTGCACTTTTCCTGTATCTGACGGGCAGCAAAGATCATGTCAGTGGTGTCACGTGATAGTCTAAAGCCACATTGACATTCTGGGATGAAGTTTTCCGCCTCAGGGAGAAGTCTGTTTCGGAGGACTCGGGTGATAATCTTGCCAGTTGTACCAGTTGTGCCACATTCTGACCAGTCTCCCCTGTTCTTATAAATATTAGCGATGGTGGCGTCTTTAAAAGTTTGGGAGATTTCCTCCTTTTCCCCTACATTCTCCAGTAAGCAGAGGTCCTCCTGATTTATATACCTCGGCTAGGATTCCATCAGGCCCTGAGGCTTTGTTATTTTTCATCTGCTTGGTGGCAGTAGTTACCTCATCCAGGGATGGAGGATAGCTGAGATGGGTCAGTTCTGGATGCTGAGGGACCTGCTGGGTAGTCAGGACATCCACATCAGTGTTTCGCTTGAGCAGTACGCTGATGGATGTCTTCTTCATCTTTAATTGGGGAGTTACCATTGGATGAGCAAAAGGGGACTGTGCCATGAATAAATTGACTCATAAAATGTTTTATTATAATTGAAAAATTCGTGCATGCGCGCTCACACACACACACACACACACACACACACACACACACACACACCAATATAGTACTTAATAAGCCATCACTCACAGAGTCCCCTGGTTATCTGTTTGACCCCTTAATATGTAGACGCAAGTGTTGTGTCAAACTTGTAGGCTTCCCGCACTTAGATACAAATCTTTCACTGGTCGAGGTGAGACAACACCCTTTGTCATTCCTGACACTTCTTCTTGCCATGCACTCATAACCGCTTCTATCTCACCCCCTGATCATTCGTCACCATTAATCATTCCACCTCATTGTAACAATACCTATTATTTTACCTTTTATTTTCCTTATTAATTCTTCTTAGTTCTTAATTCTTTATTTTCCTCTTTATTTTCATTCTGTCATTCTCTGTATACTCGCAAGGTGGAGGCGAGGCGGGAGGAAAGAGGGTGTGTGAGAGGAGGTAGGAGGAGCGCGGGCTGGTTTGTGGTCGGCAGCCGCCCTCGCACACCAAGGGGAGAGGGAGAGAGACATGGATAACTGGGGAATAAGGGTAACCTGCGATAACTGAGACACTAGGGGAAACTGGGATGTGTGTGTTGTTACTCAGGACTCACTGTATCACTACAGTGATACAGATATCTAGATACCGGGATCAGCAGTGACTTAAGCAAGTTTGCGGATGACACCAAAATAGGGCGGCAGATTAATTCAGGGCAGCATGCAAATGCACTACAGGAGGATTTAAATAAACTGCAGGAGTGGTCAGAGAAATGGCAAATGAAACTCAACACCAGCAAGTGCAGCGTACTTAATATTGGTAGAACAAATACTGTCAACGTATACAGCCTTAACAACATCAACCTAGAGAAGTCGACTTGTGAAAGAGACCTAGGGGTACTTGTAAGCCCGGACCTACGGCCTAGAAAACAGTGAGTTAATGTTCGAAATAAGGCAAACAGAGTATTAGGTTTTATATCTAGAAGTGTAAGTAATAAGAGTGCAGAGGTCTTATTGCAACTATATCTTGCGTTAGTCAGGCCGCACCTCGATTATGCGGTTCAGTTCTGGTGCCCTTATTATAGAATGGATATCAATTCACCAGAGTCGGTGCAGCGAAGAATGACGAAAATGATTCCGGGACTTAGAAACCTTCCATATCAGGATAGGTTAAAAGAACTAAACTTGCATTCCCTAGAAAGACGAAGAGTGCGGGGAGATATGATAGAAGTATTTAAGTGAGTGAAAGGAATCAATAAAGGTGATATAGATAAAGTTCTTATAATATCCGAGCAGGATAGAACTCGTAGCAACGGATTTAAGTTGAATAAGTTTAGGTTTAGGAGGGAGATAGGAAGGAACTGGTTCACAAATAGGGTGGTGGACGAGTGGAACAAGCTTAGCAACTTTGTAGTGAGTGCTGGAACGCTGGAAAGTTTTAAAGAAAGGCTGGATAGATTCATGTATGATGGAGAGTGGTAGTAACTCTCGACAGGAGCTGCCATGCACGGGTCAACCGGCCTATTGTAGACTTATTTTCTTGTGTTCTTGTGTACATACCACCAAGACACTTATAACAACTCAACTATTCTTAATAGGGGAGGGATGAATAAGGACTCTTATTAACGGTTACTGTATTTATTGAATACTTTCATTAGGATTTGACAATTACACTTCAAAACAATAAACCTTTGCTCCTAGTTAGTCAAAGGAAGGCCACGTATCACACAACAGATGGCAACTTAAGGATTTACCAAATAGAATACACCCAAATACGTGCCATGTGGCCACCACAGACACACCTCTCTCCACAAAAATCCAACACAGACTCCCGGTTTGAAAACCGAGAGCCTGTCTTGCTAGGGTAATTGGCTCATGCCTCAGGTTTCTCGGCACTCCTGGTTTCGGCGGGAACACCGTTGTGTAGTGTGTAATGGCGGGTAATCTTTGTCTTAGCAAAATTTTCATATATAGTATTTCCATTAAGACATGACACAATTTACTCCCCAAAACATGGCTTTGTTACATTATTCCTGACCTCTTCTCCTATCCCCTGACATTTCCTCCTCAGCCCTGACCTCTCCTCTTCGCTGCTGACCTCTGCTTCTCAACCCTGACCTCTCCTCCTCACCCCTGACCTCTTCTCCCATTCCCGACCTCTCCTCCTCACCCTGACCTACTTTTTTATTCTCGTTTTCTTTAACTTCTTCAGCCAACACCTGCAGAGGGAAACTTAATTAATCCCTAATTAACTCACAATTGAAAATAAATTAAACCTTTCGTGTTTGTGATGGTCGCGACTCGATGATCCAGGTAAGGTAAGGTAAGGTAAGGTAAGGCAAGGTAAGGTAAGGTAAGGTAAGGTAAGGTAAGGTAGTCTCACCTGTCACTTCCTCTGTAACTCCAAAAATAACATTTCCTGACTCGAGAATATAATGATAATAAAAACCTTGGCTGTCACGAGAACCAGTTAGATATCCACTTTACTCTACATCCACTAGACTATCATCCACTACACTATCAACCACTAAACTATCATCCACAAAGTGACTACACTATCTTTTACAACAGTGGTAACAACACTATCTACTGTACACTATAAATTATGAACATAATCTACACTACACTAATACACTTCCACAACATAAATATATTTGGGTCAGGTGCTGCTAGGCCGACCGTCGCCCTTAGTTTAGACGAATTTATCTCAGGGTGTTACACCTTCTGGGGGGGGGGGAGGGCCAAACACTAGGGCTAACTAACTCTCTGGGGAGCAGGCACCCCGGGGACAATGGCAATTTGGAAGAGGGTAGCCTGAATGATGGCACACTGAATGTTAGCACACTGCATGCTGGCACACTAAATGATGGCACACTGGGTGATGATACACTGAACGATAGCACACTCAATGATGGTACACAGAACGATGGCACACTGAATGATGGTACACAGAACGATGGCACAGTGAATGATGACACACTGAATAATGGTACACAGAACGATGGCACACTGAATGATGGTACACAGAACGATGGCACACTGAATGATGGTACACAGAACGATGGCACACTGAATGATGGTACACAGAACGATGGCACACTCAATGATGGTACACAGAACGATGGCACAGTGAATGATGACACACTGAATAATGGTACACAGAACGATGGCACACTGAATGATGGTACACAGAACGATGGCACACTGAATGATGGTACACAGAACGATGGCACACTGAATGATGGTACACAGAACGATGGCACAGTGAATGATGACTGTCGCGATCCCACTACCCTTTATACTTGGGGAGTGAATCCTACCCCAAGTTATTAACAAATAAAGGTACAAATAGGGAACACGGCAATAATTATCTCCACCAAATACCTACTCAACTAAATGTACTTGAAAAAGTAAGAACAGTTGAAATAAGTGAATTACAAAAGGGAAGATAATTAATTAATTCAATTTATGTTTTAAAGGGAGTAATGCTTAGCAAACATGAATTTAAGTGAATAAGTAATTGTATAATAAAATAAGAGTGATGCCGGAAGGGCGAAACTATACTGTAAGGAGTTAGACCAAACAAATATTACTTAACATTACTATATTACACAAGACATACGAAATATATATATACAACAATCAATACAAAATTATTATCCCTACCAAACAGGAGATACCTTACCACCAGGATCCCTTCCTAGGCCTAACTAAACGTGTCACTAATACCTGATACCCCTAGGGCATTGCAGAGACTTGATAAAGCACTAGACAAAGGTCAAGGCTAGAGAACGAATAGACACGTCTAACCTATGCCACGGATTTTCGCTACTGAGGAGCGTGGGCACGCCGAGCAGCGCGTCTCACGTGATCCAGACATTTGCTAGATATTTTATATAATTAATTAACATTACTCTTGAGTTGACTTAACAGAGTAAGACAATGATGCATATAAATTACATACATAAATATACAATCAACCTAAGTAACTAAGAACAATAATAATATAATAAGTACAATTAACAAATTATTAGTAGCTTGTGTGAAATGGAAGCGTGAACAGATGCAGCGAGTTGCCCGAGCGCTCAGGCACGTGACACCTCCCCCAAAAAAGTGAGCTTACAACTAACTGGAAGCGAAAATGGATATACAGCTACACAGTGAAAGTAATAACTAACACAATTGGTTTAAATCAATATGAAGCAAAATAATTCATAATATAAACACAAGGTACTCAATGACAATAAAACAAAAAATAATTTGCATATAGACATAGTTACTAAATAATCAGACTCGAGAAAGTGCATCAGCCAACACGTTCTCTTTTCCGCGGATATGGGAAATGTTCAAGTTATAGGGCTGAAGTGATAGAGCCCACCTCAAAAGTCTTTGGTTGGTATGTTTCATCTTGTCAACAAAAGTAAGTGGGTTATGATCAGTGAACACTTGAATGGGATAAGCAGTGCTGCCAATATATACCTTGAAGTTTTCTAGTGCCATGATCAGTGATAAAGCCTCCTTTTCAATGGTGGCATAGTTTCTTTGATATTTATTAAATTTTCTAGAAAAATAGCACAGCGGATGAAGCACGTGATCACTCTCACCCTCTTGCAGAAGCACAGCACCGGCGCCAATTTCACTGGCGTCGACATGGAGAGTGAACTGTTTCTGGAGGTCAGGTGCAAGTAGTACAGGAGCATTTGCCAGCAGGGATTTAAGATTCTCAAAAGATTCCTGGCAAGCCGTAGTCCACTTGAAGGTTTTCTTGCCACTCAGCAGGTCAGTCATGGGAGAGGCAACTGAGGAGAAGTTTGGACAAAAACGGCGGTAGTACCCCGCCATACCCAGCAACCTCATCACACTCTTCTTATCGCCTGGCACTGGATACTGTTGAATTGCCTCAATTTTGGCTGCTATAGGCTGGACTTCCCCTTGTCCGACCACATGCCCCAAGAAAGTGACGTGGGCATGGCCGAACTCACTTTTGACGAGGTTCACCGTCAGCTTGCTTGCAGCCAGTACGGAGAAGAGGGCTTGTAGACGACTCATGTGATCTTCCCAGGAACTGCTGAAGACGATAAGGTCGTCTAGGTAACAGCGGACACCTTCCAGACCAGACGTGATGAAATTCATGAGGCGTTGAAAGGTTGCAGGGGCGTTCCGCATACCAAACGGAAGGACTGTGAATTGGTACAACCCCTCAGGAGTGACAAAAGCAGAGATGGCCCTGGAGCGTTCAGTCAGTCTTATCTGGTAGTAGCCCTGGAGGAGATCCAATTTGGTCACGTACCTTGCCTGTCCAAGATCGTCGATCACATCGTCGATGCGTGGCAAGGGATAACCATCGGGTTCAGTGACGGCATTTACACCTTGCGGTAATCCACACACAGCCGCATTGACCCATTCGGCTTTGGAACTAGAACAACAGGGGATGCCCATGGACTGATGCTGGGTTCGACGAGGCCTAGCTCTTGAAGACGCTGTACCTCGGCTCGCACACACTCCCGCTTGAAGGCATTAAGACGGTAGGGACGCTGTCGGATTGGCTTGGCTCCCCTGGTCTCAACGTCATGCTCCAGCACTGAACAAGAGAGTGGGTAATCACCAACTATAATAAGATACTCCTGTAATAGAGACTTTATATTATTGGCTTGGTCACTAGAGAGATGACACAACTTAGCACTGGGGTCCTCCAAGATAGTAGAGTTTTCAACTTTTACACTAGACCCATTCATTATTTCAGAAAAACACTGATCTTTATCATCCTTACACTCTGGCACAATGATACAATTTGGCAAGGATTGATCAACACAAGCAACTGCTTTTCCCAGGGTTTCGTTACGAACGTGATATGACTTTAAAAGATTGACATGGATAAGGCGTTTTTTCTTACGCCGTTCAGGGGTGCTAATCACATAATTCACGGACCCCTGTTTTTCTAGTACTTCATATGGACCACTGTATTTGGATTTAAAAGGGTGATCATGTAAGGGCAGGAAGGCCAACACCTGCTCCCCAACTTGGAATTCTCTAGGTTTTGCCTGATGGGCCTTATCAAAATGCAGTTTCATTTTCACCTGAGCACACCTTAAGTTGGACTGGGCAAGTTCTACAGCCAGACGCAACTTCTCCTTGAATTGGACCACATATGAAGCTAAGGGCGTCGCGCTCTGATCACTCAACCAACACTCTTTTAACACCTTAAGAGGCCCTCGCGCCTCATGTCCATAGACGAGCTGGAAGGGCGAGAATCCTAGCGACTCTTGTTTACTGTCCCGAACAGCAAACAAAAGCAGGTCAACTCCCTCGTCCCAATCCTTCCAGTCTCCAGACAGAAGGTGCGCAGCATGAGTTTTAGTGTCTGGTGAAATCTCTCTACCACCCCCTGTGACTGAGGGTGATAGGCCGAAGACCTCAACTGCCGGACTCCCAGGGTTTGCATTACCTGATTAAACAACCGGGAAGTAAAATTGGAACCCTGATCTGACTGCACCACTGTAGGAAGGCCTACTTGAGTGAAGAAGTGGGTTAAGGCTTTGATAACATTCTTCGCTGTGATGCGGCGCAAGGGAATGGCTTCAGGATAACGGGTTGCACAATCAATAATGGTTAGCAAGAACTGATGACCACGAGGGGTCTTAGGTAAGGGACCGACACAATCTATGACCACCTTACTAAAGGGCTCTTCAATGACTGGGATAGGCTGCAGAGGGAATGGTTTAACACTGGGGTTCGGTTTCCCCGCTACCTGACAATCATGGCAAGTGCGACAGTAAGAGCTGACGTCTTTCTTCATCCTAGGCCAAAAGAACTGGGATAAAATTTTTGCATAAGTCTTCCTAACTCCTAAATGACCACCCACCCCATCATGAGCGATACTAAGTATGTCCTGCCGCAAAGGTTTGGGAATAACAACTTGATGATGAACTAACCAAGGGTGATTGGCAGGAGAATTGGAGGGACGGAACTTCCGCATTAATACACCAGACCTAGTGTAGTAGCAATTTGATTCTTGCTCAGCTTCTGTCTCAGTGACTGACCTATTGAGAAAACCTACCAGCTCAGGATCCCCTGCTTGTAGCTCAATAAACTTACTTCTAGTGATGGGAGAGGAACCAAAACTAGTGACATCTGGGTTCCTATCTCCATCAGAACTACTCTGGAGGTTATCTGGTGGTGAGGAATCCTCAAAGAATTCACTGAGACCAAGATCAGTATGGTCCGGCTGAACAAGATTATCCTCGGACTTCTCACAGTCCTGGAGGGAAACTTCATCAACTTCACTAGTCTCTTCTACTTCTGTACTGCGGCTCATGCTACGGGTCACAGCACACGCAGGGAACAACCCTGGAAAGTCTACTTCTAACTGCACAGTATTATTCTCGGCAGTGGGACAAGATGAGATCACAACATTAGGGAACATCATGTCGCCAACAAGGTCATTTCCTATCAATAGAGAGACCCCTTCTACAGGTAAGCTATCTACTACTCCTAACGTGACATAGCCTGACTTTATGGATGACCGCAGGTACACTTGACAAAGGGGAATACGCGACCCACCGGTCAAACCGTTCACCAGCACCCAGCTACCAGTATAGCATGAATCCAGGAATGGAGCAGCTTCTTTAGTAACAAGAGATAAAGCTGAGCCTGTGTCTCTCAAGAGTTTAACAGAAATGGGTTGACTGAATTGATCCAAAGCTAAGGAACCAGGAGAACAAAATGGTTCAAAGGTTGATATCATAGAAGAGGGGGAAGCATTCAGGGCAACAGTCTGACTGAGGGCAGTGACACAGGGCTCCAATAATTTCTCCGATTGCTCGGCCACCCTGACCAAAAGAGTGGGGGATCCATGGTGAGAGGAATTTCTTTTCTTTAACTTGAGACAGTCGCTGATGACATGTCCTGGCTTCTTACAGTACCTACAACTAGAGTTTCTCTCACCAGTAGGAGTGGATCCACCTGTCCCATGGACCATGGGCTCACCCGGGGTAGATGATGCAGAACCTGAGGGTCGGGTCGGTATGACAGGAGGCAGGGACCCCGATGTAGATGTTGGTGTGGGCCGCTTGAAGGAAGTGAAGGACTGGGACATGGGAGCATAAGACCTGGAATTTACATTTCTATTAGTTAAGGAATAATGGTCAGCCACTGGACCAGCATCAGCCAGGGTACAGATACCTCTCTGATCCAAGTGAGCTCGAATGTCGCCTGGGATACACTTTCTAACCTCCTCTAGCAGGATTAGTTCAACAAGCTTGTCATGTTCTACATGGGCAGACTCACTTTCAATCCACCTCCGACAAAGAACCTGTTTCTGCCTGAAGAACTCCACAAATGTTTGTTTGTCAGTCTTCCGGCAGTTACGGAACTGTTGCCGGTAGGCTTCAGGAACAAGTTTATAGGCGCTCAAAACCGCGGACTTAACAAGGGCATAGTCTCGACATTGATCCTCAGAGAGGGCAGAAAACACATCTAATGCTTTACCAGTGAAAGATCTATAAATAAGTTGAGACCATTGAGAAACAGGCCACTTGTTAAGTCGGGCAATTTTCTCAAAAAGAGAGAAGAATTTGTCTGGTTCTTCCTCATTAAATTTAGGAACACTGTTGAGACATTTGTCTACACTGAATGTTGAAGTATTACTACCTTGAGCCAAACCTCGTTGTTTGAGAGTTTCCAGCTCCACCTCGAGTCTTTTGAGTTCAACTTGTAAGGCCAAATTACTTGGTGTAACAATTTCCTCTGAATTTCCCGACGGTTGGGCTATGATTTCATTGTCAATAAGGTAGTTGAGGACAGCCTCTTCTAAACTAGACTTATTCATGGAAGAGCGGCCTTCTACTTCATAATAAGCAGCGAGGGATTGCCACTCTGCCTTAGTAAGCCCCTTCAGTACTTCGGCTGAAGGTGAAGCCAAAAAGCTTTCCAGGTCAAACATGTTGAATTCAAAATCGAGTAGCGAAAAAAAAATAACCGTGGCAGCTAAGCTAACTAGCTAGCTAATTAATAATATCAAAATGCAATAAACTGTGAAACACAGCAAGGGATTAACCAAACACCTGGTACACAAGATAAGGGTTAACTCACCAGTAGCTTAAGCAATAGCAGGAGCAATATAAATGAACACTGTGAACACAGCAACTTGCATCCAAAAATACTTAACGATGAAACAACACCTGGCGAGTAACAACACTTGATATGACGCAACAATGGCGGTTAACTCCCGGACACAGGCCCCCACTTGTCGCGATCCCACTACCCTTTATACTTGGGGAGTGAATCCTACCCCAAGTTATTAACAAATAAAGGTACAAATAGGGAACACGGCAATAATTATCTCCACCAAATACCTACTCAACTAAATGTACTTGAAAAAGTAAGAACAGTTGAAATAAGTGAATTACAAAAGGGAAGATAATTAATTAATTCAATTTATGTTTTAAAGGGAGTAATGCTTAGCAAACATGAATTTAAGTGAATAAGTAATTGTATAATAAAATAAGAGTGATGCCGGAAGGGCGAAACTATACTGTAAGGAGTTAGACCAAACAAATATTACTTAACATTACTATATTACACAAGACATACGAAATATAAATATACAACAATCAATACAAAATTATTATCCCTACCAAACAGGAGATACCTTACCACCAGGATCCCTTCCTAGGCCTAACTAAACGTGTCACTAATACCTGATACCCCTAGGGCATTGCAGAGACTTGATAAAGCACTAGACAAAGGTCAAATCTAGAGAACGAATAGACACGTCTAACCTATGCCACGGATTTTCGCTACTGAGGAGCGTGGGCACGCCGAGCAGCGCGTCTCACGTGATCCAGACATTTGCTAGATATTTTATATAATTAATTAACATTACTCTTGAGTTGACTTAACAGAGTAAGACAATGATGCATATAAATTACATACATAAATATACAATCAACCTAAGTAACTAAGAACAATAATAATATAATAAGTACAATTAACAAATTATTAGTAGCTTGTGTGAAATGGAAGCGTGAACAGATGCAGCGAGTTATGCGAGATCCCGAGCGCTCAGGCACGTGACAATGACACACTGAATAATGGTACACAGAACGATGGCACACTGAATGATGGTACACAGAACGATGGCACACTGAATGATGGTACACAGAACGATGGCACACTCAATGATGGTACACAGAACGATGGCACACTCAATGATGGTACACAGAACGATGGCACAGTGAATGATGACACACTGAATAATGGTACACAGAACGATGGCACACTGAATGATGGTACACAGAACGATGGCACACTCAATGATGGTACACAGAACGATGGCACACTGAATGATGGTACACAGAACGATGGCACAGTGAATGATGACACACTGAATAATGGTACACAGAACGATGGCACACTGAATGATATCACACTTGATGATGAGAACTCTGAACGATGGCACACTGATTGATGGTACACTGGATGATGACACACTGAATGATGGTACACTGAATGATGGTACACTGGATGATGACACACTGAATGATGACACACTGAATGATGACACACTGAATGATGACACACTGAATGATGACACACTGAATGATGACACACTGAATGATGACACACTGAATGATGGTACACTGAATGTTGACACACTGAATGGTGACACACTGAATGATGACACACTGAATGATGACACACTGACTGATGACACACTGAATGATGACACACTGAATGATGACACACTGAATGATGGTACACTGAATGATGGTACACTGAATGATGGTACACTGAATGGTGACACACTGAATGATGACACACTGAATGATGACACACTGAATGATGGTACACTGAATGATGACACACAATGATGACACACTGAATGATGACACACTGGATGATGACACACTGAATGATGACACACTGAATGATGACACACTGAATGATGACACACTGAATGATGACACACTGAATGATGGTACACTGAATGATGGTACACTGAATGGTGACACACTGAATGATGACACTGAATGATGACACACTGAATGATGGTACTCACACTGAATGATGACACAATGATGACACACTGAATGATGACACACTGAATGATGACACACTGAATGATGACACACTGAATGATGACACACTGAATGATGGTACACTGAATGTTGACACACTGAATGATGACACACTGAATGATGACACACTGAATGATGACACACTGACTGATGACACACTGAATGATGACACACTGAATGATGACACACTGAATGATGGTACACTGAATGATGGTACACTGAATGGTGACACACTGAATGATGACACACTGAATGATGACACACTGAATGATGGTACACTGAATGATGACACACTGAATGATGACACACTGAATGATGACACACTGAATGATGACACACTGAATGATGACACACTGAATGATGACACACTGAATGATGACACACTGAATGATGACACACTGAATGATGGTACACTGAATGATGGTACACTGAATGGTGACACACTGAATGATGACACACTGAATGATGACACACTGAATGATGGTACACTGAATGATGACACACTGAATGATGACACTGAATGATGACACACTGAATGATGACACACTGAATGATGACACACTGAATGGTGACACACTGAATGATGACACACTGAATGATGACACACTGAATGATGACACACTGAATGATGACACACTGAATGATGACACACTGATGGCACCCTGAATGATGACACCCTGGATGATGGCACCCTGAATGATGACACACTGAATGGTGGTACACTGAATGATGGTACACTGAATGATTGCACCCTGACTGGTGGCACCCTGAATCATGGCTCCCTGAATGATGGCACCCCGAATGATGACACACTGGATGGTGGCACCCTGAATGATGACACCCTGGATGATGGCACCCTGAATGATGACACACTGAATGGTGGTACACTGAATGATGGTACACTGAATGATTGCACCCTGACTGGTGGCACCCTGAATCATGGCTCCCTGAATGATGGCACCCCGAATGATGACACACTGGATGGTGGCACCCTGAATGATGACACCCTGGATGATGGCACCCTGAATGATGACACACTGAATGGTGGTACACTGAATGATGGTACACTGAATGATTGCACCCTGACTGGTGGCACCCTGAATCATGGCTCCCTGAATGATGGCACCCCGAATGATGACACACTGGATGGTGGCACCCTGAATGATGACACCCTGGATGATGGCACCCTGAATGATGACACACTGAATGGTGGTACACTGAATGATGGTACACTGAATGATTGCACCCTGACTGGTGGCACCCTGAATCATGGCTCCCTGAATGATGGCACCCCGAATGATGACACACTGGATGGTGGTACCCTGAATGGTGGTACACTGAATGATAGTACACTGAATGATTGCACCCTGACTGATGGCACCCTGAATCATGGCTCCCTGAATCATGGCACCCTGAATAATGACACACTGGATGGTGGCACCCTCAATGATGACACCCTGGATGATGGCACCCTGAATGATGACACACTGAATGGTGGTACACTGAATGATGACACACTGAATGATGGTACACTGAATCATGGCACCTTGAATGATGACACACTGGATGGTGGCACCCTGAATGATGACACCCTGGATGATGGCACCCTGAATGATGACACACTGAATGATGGTACACTGAATGATGGTACACTGAATGTTGGCACCCTTAGATGGCACACTAGGTTGTTTTAGATATCTGAGTGAATGTGAAAAAAAAAAATTATCATTCAGAGCCACAAACATTTGGTGTAGCTCATGTAATAGTGATTATTGATTTATCGTAACAATAATAACAAGAACAACAACAACAAAAACCACAACGAGAACAACTACAAAAACAACAAACGTTTTCAATAAGACTCTGAGCGATTTATTTTGTTTCAATATTAAAATCAAGTTGTATAAATATCTTTGTTGATATTCCTGCTGTACGTAATAAGAAACACACCGATACTTTATATAGAAGGTCTAGACTAGTGTCACGCTTAAGTCATCATAACACCGAAGTGTCTTTCTCTCTGTCTGTACTGTTGCTCCCTTGGCGTTGTCTACTTGTGTGGTCTTTTAGCAAGAATTTTCACGGAAAGGTCACGGCCAATTTAGACCCTGATGATTAATTGTTAGTAATGGCTTGTGTTAGTTGTGAGCAGGATCTGTGCCCATCTGAGGGCCGAGTTAGTGAAGGTCAAGGACGAAAGCTTGAAATTAAAGGAAGTGATTGTGAGGATGAAGGAGGAAGATACGAGACAAGGAAAGCCCGTGTCTGACGAAGACAAATGCGAATGGAGGGTTGTGAGGAGAAGGACGACCAAACTGGTGGTGAAAAAAGACACCAAGGAAACGACAACAGCTAAGTGTACCAACTCTTTTAGTCCTTTGATAGACGAATTGGACGTTAACATAGTCAGGGACAAGGCTAGCAAGGAAGGAACGAAAACCTTTTTTGTTGGTGATTTCCAGGTACGGTACCTGGATAGCGCTTTTTGTGCTAAAAGTAGCAATAGAATGCGAGTGTGTTTGCCAGGAGCTGGGGTGGGGGATATACTTGACAGGATGAGCAATATCATGTCTGGTAATGGGAACAAACCCATTATCTGCCTCGGTGCAGGGGGCAATGATATTTATTAGCCGTGTAGGAGTTAGGAGCTCCTTGATAATTTCAAGACAGGATCGAATGTGAAGGATCCCTATCATATGTGGTGTCCTGCCTAAAAGGAGAGTTGGCAATGAATAGTTGTCAAGGGTAGTTGGTGTCAAAGGCCGTCTTGACAGATATTGCAATACAATATCAGTCTCATTCATTGACATCTGGGACAACTTTTACGGGAGAAGGGACCTTTATGCTAGGGATGGGGTACATCTGTCTAGGGATAGAGTGGCAACCCTGGCTGGCTCTCTCGAGAGGGCAGTTCAAAAGATGTCGAAGTCTTTAAACTGCTAGGGTAACATGTGAGCACGGGAATTGAGAAGACTGCAGTGGGAGCGGGTAAACAAAATTCAAATTTATAGAGAAATAGTGCTGGAAATGATGACAAAACTAAATTATGCAGGGAGTTAAAACCTAAAAACGACAAAGAGAGGACTTAAATCACGACTAACTTAAATGTCTACTACGCAAACAGTAGAAGTATGAGACACAAAATGGATGAAATCAGGGCGTTGGTATGTACCGAAAAAATCTATATAACAGTTTGGCAAAACATGGATAAACTTGGACTCACGTGAGTTACCTGTTGAATACCAAAGTATAGTTTACAAATTATTCCATATCGATAGGCAGATTAGGAAAGGAGGCGGAGTAGCAATCTATTTCAGGGATAATCTGAAGTGTGAAATAAACAATGTGTATTTGCTCGAAACAAGACCAACAAAGTACTTGGGTTCATACAAAGGGCTGTTAGTTACAAGACTAGCGAGGTCATCCTAAAACTATATCTTACGCTTGTGAGACCACACTTGGATTATGCAGTTCAATTCTGGTCATCGTATTACAGAATGGATATAGAATGCAGAGAAGAATGACAAGACTAATCCCGGGCATTAGGAACCTTGAGTACAGAGACAGGTTAAAGCATCGTAATTTGCACTCCCTCGAGAGTCGTGGAGTGAGGGGCGATATGATCGAGGTGTATAAATGGAAGTCAGGACTAAACAAAGGTGACATAACAAAGGTACTCAAACGATCCAACGAGGAGCGAACACGTAACAATGGTTTAAAATGAAATTAATTTAGATTTAGGCACGAGATAGGTAAACACTGGTTTGGAAATAGCGTAGTGGATGAGTGGAAATAGTTACCAAGCATCATCATTAACTCGAATACACTGGATAGTTTCAAACATAGGTTGGGTGGATATATGAGCGATAGGGGTTGGGTGTAAATGGGACTACCCAGTATGGGCCAATAGACCCGCTGCAGTTTCCTCCATTCTTATGTTCTTATGATGATGAAGATGATGATGATAGGCACATAATGAATCATTGGTATTGAATTTTTGGGTGAAGGCTTTTATTAAATTAGCCTCTTGCCCCTCTCCTCCCTCCCTCCCCAATAATGAACCAGTATGGAAGGATTCCTAATTATGTTATCCATCACACGGCAGAGATTACAAAATAACTAAACAAATGATCTTTAACCATATGTAAATATTGCCTAAGTTGTCTCTTTACGCAATATATTAACATTATCTTAAAAGGTGAGTGAATCTATATTGTTGGGACATCGATTCGTAGTGGTATTGGTACGTCCGCTATCTACGAGGTCCAAGATTTTTATTTATATTTTTATTTTTTTGATGTTTAATTAATTCCATAACCAGATTATAAAACCGATGCCAACACACAAAAATAATTAAATCATTTATAGGTGTGTGTGTGTGTGTGTGTGT